TTGCTTAAGTTATGCATTCATGCGTATACTAGGCAACTGTTACACTGCTCCATTGACCCTGTGAAAGACTCTTCCAGCACTGATAAGTGTTAATATTTTTTTTAAGATTTATTCATTTGTTCTTGCTTTGGTAGCACTTATGCTAAAATAATAGGATACAGAGAAGATTAGCATGGCCACTGTGCAAAAATGACAATGTGAATTCATGAAGCATTTCATACATTTAAAATATATATATTTTTATTTGAAAGAGTTAGCAGGGGCGGTAGGGGAGACTTGGAGAAGTGGGCCAGTGCAATGGCTCAATTGCCTAATCCTCTACCTTCAAGGCCCTGGTATCCCATATGGATGATAGTTCATGTCCTAGCTGCTCCACTTCCTTTCCAGCTCCCTGCTTATGGCCTGGAAACGGAGTGGAGAATGGCCCAAAGCCTTGGAACCCTGCACCCATGTGGAAGACCAGGAAAGAGGTCCTGCCTCCTGGCTTCAAACCGGCTTAGCTCTGGCTGTTGCAGCAATTTGGGAAGTAAACCAGCAAGTGGAACATCTCTCTGTCTCTCCTCTCTGTAAATGTGCCTTTTTAAAAATAAATCTTTAAAAGAGATAGAGATCTTTCATCCACAGGTTCACTGCACAATGGTCAGTGCTGAGCTAGGCAGAAGGCGAGAGCTTCATCCAGATATCACACATGGATGGCAGGGGTCCAATCGCTCGGGCCATCCATTGCTGCTTTGCCTAGGATTTGCAGGGAACTGGATCAGAAATGAAACAGCTGGAACTCAAACTGGCACTCATATGTTATGCAAGCATTGCAGCCTGCAGCTTTACCTACTATGTCACAATGCTGCCCCCCTTTTAATGTTCTAATTTCTGCAGTTCACTGTGAGCTATTTTTAGTTTAGGAATGATATCAGCTTTGTATCTGTAGTGTTAGTGCTTCTAATAGAACTATATTTTTCATATTCTTTCTACTTCAGGCATAGACCATTCTCTGACTTTAACTTGCTCTTGTAAAAATCTTTCTCAGTGTATTTCAGCTTGATTTATAGTTTTACTCTAGTGATTTTAGTGGTGTGTTGCTAGAATTTCTGCTTCTTTTCTCTTTTTCTTCATTTCTTAAGGCATAAAATTTTAATGTAGTCCTGCAACCTTTTTCTCCTTGTTGATTATGTCTTTGATTGCAGTACTCCTTGAGTGGTTTCTGTGAAAAATCCTTCCGATAAACTAGTGGAATTTATTAAGACATATCTGCTATTTTAGTCTATATTTCACCTTCCATAATATAGGTGGCTTTTAGTTGATTAGAATCAACATTCATATTTTATTCATGTGATCAACATACCTTGTAGCTTAGTAAAAATGCTAGTTTGTCTGTTATAGTCAGTTAAGATTTATAATAGTGTGACCTCAAAAAATCTCCTTAATCAATTCTATGTTAATGAAATTCAGCTACTTACATTACCTATGTTAAGCAAAAGTAATTGCACTCCATTGACATGGAAGAAAATATCTACCTAACTGTAGGCATGTTTTGTCCTATGAAATACATTATGCTGGAGAACCAGATGTGTGGAATAAACTTCAGTTGACATTCTCGTTTATATAACAGAAAAATGTACAGTGTCTTTCTGTATCTGCTTAATTGTAATAAAATAAAGATGATTTCCACTTAAATAATTTTACAAACTAACAAAAAATTAGAAAAACAACTTTCAGAGCAGAACACTCAGCAAAAACATTTCAAGAAACATTTTAGTTTTCTTTTTTACATAATATCAAATTGTTTGTCAATAAACTTGGGGAAAAATTATAACCAGAGAACCAATGGTATGATTTCACCTAAATTTAACCATAGAGTATAATTTCTATGAAATGAAAAGACAATTTAGCTCCATATATTCCCCTTGTCAGTAAGCCAGCTGAACTGTTTACAATGCAAATGAGAGACTATTTACATACCATAACTTCAACTGGGAACTGTATTCTTTCTTTTGTTCTTCAGAGCTCAGGACCATTTATATTTTCCTTGTGTGACATATGTTAAGTTCCTGGCACAATCAAAGTACTCAACATTTGCTGACTAAATGGAAGATCAGCATTTTCAAAATGAGTTTTTTTCAGATATATTGATTAAAGTCATGGAAGATTTATTTTCTATTCACAAGATGAAGTTGAACTACAAAAATTGAAAATAATGTAATCACCCTTATTTCCACTCTGGGATTCTCTGTTTATCATTGCTGTCACTGACATGATTTCTTCTTTATTTTCCTAATTTTTATTAATACAAAGAAAACACTTTATGTGATCCATGGATATATTCCGAGGAAAAACTCACACTTCCCTCACTCCCTTGGCCCCCCGCCCCAGTATGTGTCTCTCTTCCTTTCTCTTCATCAGCTTTTGCAAATCCATTTTTAACCCACCTTGTATTCACAGCTTTAATTTTCCACTAATTATAATATTCAATCATTGAAATGGAAACAGCCCATAAGACTTCAATTGCACTGGGGTACAAACATGACCTAAACATGGCAAATCTATCCCAAACGGGTCATTTCATTTTTACACTTTGTTGTATACATTGGCTGCCACGTTTCAGAGAAAACAGAGTACTATTTGTCTTCTTAAGACTGGGTTGTATGTCTGAGCACAATGGTATCCAGTTGTATTCCTTATGTTGCAAAAAAAAAACAAACAGGATTTCATTCTTTTTGTAACTGAATAGTATTCTGCAATGTATATATACCGCATTTTCTTTATCCAGTCAGCCTTTTAGGAGTATCTGGGCTGATTCCACATCTAAGCTGTTGTGAATTAACTGCAATAAACATGAGGGCACAAAAAACCTCTCATACATAATGATTTCATTTTCTTTGGGTAGATTTTCAAGAAAGGGATGGTTATATAAGAATTGTGTTTATCAATGTCTGTGAAATTTCCATACTGTCTTCTATATTAGCTGTATTTATTTGCAATGGACTAGGGGGTATGTATATGTATATTATGTATTTTTCCCTACACCCTGATGAGCATTTATTGTTTTGTTTGGCTGGTTTGGTTTAGTTTCATTTTGTTTTGGTTTTGATTTTTGGATACTAACCTTTCTAACAAGGGTGAGGGAAGCTTCATTGTGGTTTTGCTTGTATTTTGATGTGGCTAATGATCCTGAGCATATTTTTCTATGACTATTGGCCATTTGTATCTCATCCTTTTGAAAGTGCCTATTCATGCCCTTTGCCCATTTCTTAACTGGGCTGTTTGTCTAGTTGTTGAGAATGTGGAGCTCTTTATAGGTCCTGGATATTAATGGTTTATCAATTTTATAATTTGTGAATATGTTCTCCCATTTATTGGGTGACTCTTCACATTTTTGAGTTTCCTTGACAGTGCTCAAGATTCTAAGCTTGCTATAATCCCATGTGTGTGTTTTTGTTATAATTAACTATGCTTCTGGGCTCCTTTCCAAGAAGCTGCTGCCTAGGCCAATGTCTTGGAAACTCAGTGGTTTCCTTTAGTGATTTGATGATATCAGGTAATATTTGGATCCTGAGTTTATTCGTATCACTTTTACACGAGGCATAAGTTAGAGTCTTATCTCATACTTCTGCACATATAGATTCAATGTTCCCAAAAACAGTTATTGAAGATATCATCCTTTCTATAGATATTGATTTTAGTTTATATGCCAAAGATTAGTTGGTCATGCTGATTGGATTAAGTTCTGGATTTTGCAGTCTGTTCTATTGCTGGATTTGTTGATTTTTGTGTCAGTACTAAGAGGTTTTGATTATAACTGCTTTGCTGAGATGCCTTGTTTTTCCAGTTTTGTTTTTGTTGTTTAATATTCATTAAGCTATTTGTAGTCTCTCTTCTTTCCATATCAAACTTAGTATCTTTTTTTTTCTGAATCTGAAAAGAATGTCATAATTGGGGTTACAATGAATCTCTGAATTGCTTTAGATGATATGGACATTTGGTAATATTAATGGAAAACTAATACATTTTACTGTCTTTTATTTCTTTCTTTAATATTTTTGAAATTTTTATTTTAGTGATCTTTCACCACCATGGTTAAATTTCTCCCATGGTACTTGGTTTAAATTTTTGTGTGTCCACTGTTAATGTAATTAATCTCACAAGTTCTTCCTCACAACTTGGCATTATCTGTGTATATACAGGTGTTAGTGTTTTTATTTGTTAATTTTATATCCTGAAACTTTACCAAACTCTCTTGAGTTTAAATGGTCTCTCAGTAGAATTTTAATTCTATATGCATATAATCATATCATCTGCAAGCATGGAAAATTTCACTTCTTTTCTGTTTGTATCCGTTTGATTTCTTTGTCTTGCCTAAAAGCTCTGGCTAAATCTTTTCCATCCTTTTATTTTCAGTCTTTAGGCATCTTTTCTGATGAGCTGTGTTTCTCATATGGAGCAAATAAATGAATCTTATATTATTTTCATCCATTTAGCCAGTATATATCTTTAATTAGAATTTAGGCCACAGGTGAATAGAATTTAAGCCTTATAGTTTAACTATAATTCATCATAGTGAAGATCTTTTTCTGGCTATCTCTGTTAATTCTATATACTTTCTGTGCTTGTATCTCTAGTTTTCCAAATTAGGGACGTATTTTACTGTTACTTCTCTGAATAATCCTAAACCATTCTTGCAGTTCATGCCTTGAGGAACTCTTAAGGACATGTGTTTTGTCATTTGATAGTATCTTATAAATCTTGAGCATTATTTTCCATTTGTGTTTGTCTGTGGTATCTGTGATAGAATTGAGGGCCGAGAACACCTCACAGTCCCCAGTGGGTGCCCAACCCAGTGCCAACCCTGCAGTCCAGGGACAAGTCAGTAGGGGAATAGTTTTATCCCTATGATAAAGCCCCTGATTATGAGAATGTGGGAGTCACTGCAGCCTCTTCTGACATTAACATGGGCATTCTCCCCACTAGTAAACAGGCACCCTTGTCAAAGGATAAGAGGAAAGAATAGAACTGTTCCTGATGAGTACCCCTGCTCCTCACCCACGTTAGGGCTCCAGACTCCAAGTCAGTGTGGTCTGCAAGGCTCTCCCCCAGGCAATATCACCAGTGGCACAGGCTGCCACTGTCTCTCCCACCTTGTTTTTGGGAGCTGGCGTCTCCTGCAGCTCCCAGCTGTGGGAGTTTGCAGACAGCATTGCTGCTCACTGATGTGTGATTGTTCTGGCCACACTGCACCACAGCATCTTTTATATCCATAGAACTTCCACTGCAAACTTCTCTCCCAATTCTCCCTTTGGAAAATGTTTCCTCTATTTTTTCTACTGTTATCTTCCCCTAGTCTAAATCAGCACATTTTCTCCTTCTTCAGCTGCTTGAAATTCTCTACTCCTCTCTTCTTATTGCCTTCTGTTTCTTAAGAAACTTGTGCTGTATTTTTTTTTTTTTTTATTGTTGCTTACATTGTATTATGTAGTACAGTTTTATAGGCGCTGGGGATTCCCCCCACCCCTCCCATAACCCTCCCCCCATGGTGGATTCCTCCACCTTGTTGCATAACCATAGTTCAAGTTCAGTTGAGATTCATTGCTTGCAAACACATGCCTAAGAAACTTGTGCTGTATTATTAAACAACGTGTCCTCATTCTCCTTTGTCTTGCATGCTACTAACAGAAAGGTCTCCGCAGGAGCTGAGGAGTCCTGAAACTATATTCTTTCTAAATTCCAAGATCCAGATTGTGGTATATTCATTCATCTTATTGAGCCACCAAGACAGGAGTTAATTCTAGACATCGGATTTAATTGAATGTAAAAGCTAAGAAGCCCCAGATAATGACTTTATCTCAGTTACTTGTTTGACATGATATTTCAGTGTCAGTTAATGATTCATGGTATTTCACAAGAACTTGCATAAAATATTGTGATCTGGATTTATCAAGGAAAAAGAAGATGTGACAGTTTTTCCTGGATATATCCCAAGCTTCAATAAAGTGTGGTTTCCTGCAAGGACAAAAAGTAAGTGATCTCATTTACAAAAGATGGAAGAGAAGGAAAGAAAAGAAAAAGAAACATGAAGAGTGTCCCCATAATAGTGAAAATCCAGGACCTTCCTTGCAAATGTTCTTTCCAATTCTTCAACTCCCAAATACTCCAAGAGTATCTGACTTTCCAATAAAAATAAGTAAATCTTTTAAAAAAAGAATAGTTAGAGAAAGTGTGGTGAACTTAGTAGGAAATAGGCTTTTAGGAAAAAAAAGTGATCTTTTATTGTTGAAAATGGATACCAAATAGTTTGTCTGAGCTAGCTGTGGGACATAAACAACAGCAAATGCAATGCAAAATATGTTAAGTCATAAGGAAAATGAATGTTTTTAAATTATTTTATGACACAGTCTAATAGGCATTGAGGTCTCCCTTCCCCTTTCCCAAGCTCTCTCTTTCCCCTCAGTCCTGCCCTCCAGTCTCACAATGAGTACCTTTCATGAGTTTTCACAAGTCCATCATGCTGCCACTGACGTTTCTCAGGGAGGAGATGGTCAGTCATTTTGTTGTGAGTCCATCGTTGTAGTGTACGCATGAGTATTTACTTCTCTATGTTTCTACGTATGTACATATTAGTTTCTGCTACATTTCCATAATGTGCCCCCTTGAGTACAGTCCACCATGGGGAGAAGAAAAAAATAGTGAATCTTTATTCCTTTGTGAAGATGCTGGACACTCTTTTTTACCACCCTAGCAGTACATTCATGCCTTTGTTATCATCCGTTAGCTTCATGTGGATGAAGATTCACTAAGGAAAATGCAGGTTTTTGCATGACAAAAAAAGAATTCCAAGGTTTGGTGATAGTAAGGTTGGCTCATAGAGCAACTCAACATCATCATAGAGGTGATAATTATTTCCAAGATCCAGTTCTGCCGTCCACAAATATCAGCTGTCTCTCTAAAGCAGGTTGTGATCACTGCATGACAGCAAGCAGTACCAGATACCACAGACAAACACAACACCACCTGACAAGAGACAGTCACTGTGCATATTTATAAATCAGGGAAATTTCCCCAGAAATTATTCACAGACTTTGTCTTAATAGGCCCAAGCTGGAAACATACACCCTTGCCAAAACCAATCACTGGCAACAAGAATAGATTGCCATATATCCTAGTGTAATTCTCCATTAGAAGAGCTTGGTGAGCTCTCTAGAATAGTAGTTGCCTGAGAGAAAAAAAATCATTGTCTTAAATTACAGGAAAAGAACAGCTATTCAGGAAACAACTGGCATGCAATTGTACTTTAATATTGTTTTGTAGATACATTTCATGTCTTATGTGCCCGAAATAATTTACTAGAAGAATATAATATAAGTAAGGCAAATTACCACCTGCCGTATTTCATATTTGACATATGTGGCATGTAAACTCAGTATTCAAGTCCTGTTGTACTAAGATATCTTAAAATGTAAAGGTATTCTACGTACTGTCTTCCACAATCATTTGTGTTACAGCATATTGGATTTTAACCTTCTGTGGTTATGCCTGTGCTCCGTGCATTCAGATGGTGAATGAACTATGTGAGAATTATTTCAAACACTTAATATATTGGCCACATTGTAGACATCCAGTTTACTCACTGAATCATTATCTAGCTACTAATTTTTAGCAAGACATAATTTCTTTGGCTCTAGAAGTAGCTTTTTTAATTCAAATCTTGGCAGCACCACTTACTAGCTGTACCATAACTATTAGCAAGTTTTATCATCTATGGTACAGAGATAGTCATATTGGCTAACTCTTAAGGCTTTCTGTGGGAGCATTAAATCAGCTTATATGTTTAAAACTCTTGTAACAACATCTGACTAATAGCATGACCTTCAAAGTACTAGGCATTTTCATTTATTAATATTACTTCCAACTGGCAGGCTGAAGAATTTCTCATCACCGCATTTACTCCAACTTCAGCAGTATGTAGACTGATATTGGAGCTTCTCTTGCCTGTTTGACAAAACAATGACAATTTTGACACACTTGGAGAAACGAGAGCGTAGAGTTATAGGCTTAGATTTTCCTACAAGGGCCTGCAGCTCAGAAACAGCACGAGGTCAGAGCTGAGCTTCAGCTATGCAGTGGAGACTGCAAGTTTCAGATTATTTTTTGTACCTTCCGCAGAAGGTGTTTTGACAGCCAATTGGTTTGATCTAGCTAAGCTGTTTCTTCAGTCACAACCAAAAGCATCTGATTTGATCTTACTTTACCAAAATGAGAGGTAATTTCAGTGAATATTGTACACAGTGATCATAGTTACTGAAAGCTGTGTCAGACTGACCCGTGGGAGATTTTCACACTATCTCTAGGCTTTTGTTAAGAAAACAAAAAGAGGGACTTGGTCCCTTAACCTATCATTTTGAAACCACTACACAACACACTTAAAATCTTCATGATGCATCTGAAAAAGCTTCAGGAGGCCTTTAAAGCCATACAAATGTCCCCTTATTGAGTGGTGCTTTTGAAATAGATGTAGTTTTAGAGACAGCAGTGTTAAAGCATTTCAATAATAGAAAGAAAAAACAGATTCATAACCCATTATTATTAAACAGTGTTAAAGTACTGGGGGGAGGGGCAGGGAGTTTTCTGGCTGTTCTCAGTCGTTTCAGTAATTTAGTATTTGGGTTTTGATTTGGATGCTTCGTTTGTTTCCATTCTTTGCATTTCCTTTTCCATAATAGAGACCTGAGGGGAAAAATAATGCAACAATGAATATCGTATTCATGTGGTTCTGGGAACTGTTTAGGTTTTAAATAGTTCTGATATTTTTGCTGTCTTTGATGCTACGCATCATTCACACATCTCTGTGAAGAGAAAAAAATTGTCCACACTTTTACTCAGTATTATCACCTTACAGTATACGCAGGCTCATATTCTCTCTGTTTACGAAACATGCCTATTAAAAAACACATTAATTATGAGATGCAGCATTATTTTAAATATTACTAAGAAATAATGTTAAAGATGAAGCTATGTCAAGAGTTTTTATCTCTCTAGAATTTCGATGTTGAACTAACTCGAGAAGATATGTAGATTTGGGTAAGAAATTTTCATTCTGTGTTACTTCTGTGCATAAAGACTAGGTGGACAAAGTCATGATCACTTGGATAAGCAACTCCTACAACTTTTCAATCTGTTTCCAGATGCACATCTTTTTTTCACATACCATTATCACTGGTTTCATCAACAGTGTTGAGATAAAGTGTTTTTGCAAATATTGCTCTATGGTTCCCTCAGAAATCTTCTAAACAGCATCATCTCATTCTGCTCATTTCGGTGGTTCAGGCTGACTGTAGCAGGGGTAGACAGGAGTGGAGGAAAGTGGATAAACAACTGGAGATTCTCAGAAACTAAATTATCTCACAAAACAAAAAGACAGGAAATAATTCACATTAAGAATAGGAAAATCAGAAGTCAGCAAGTCAAAATTTTCTAACCACTAGTAGTAGAAAAAAACAGTCACTTGCAAAGATTGACTACTTGTATAAAAATATTTACTTTTTAATCTGTTTGGCCACTTGATATCATTGTATCTGTATGCCTCTCTGCTTTTGCACTGGACCCAAATTTTCCATGTTCACTGTACAAGGGTGCTGAGGGACTTGTCAGTAGGGGGAGGAATGTAGATGGTGTTTTCCATAGGACTAGACAATGGGAAGGGATTAAGAGGCGTAAGGGGAATTCCTAGGAAATGCAATTAATGAGTTTGCACAATTTCCTCCCTCCCACATTTTTCCTCAGATGCTGTCAGCATTAGATTATATGCATCTCTTCAGTGTTTGTAGTGAAGGATTTGTGGGGTTGGAAAAGAATGTTAAATCTGTCCTCAAAGTTACAAAAACCCAGTTGTATGCTATTTGCAAAAGCACAAAAAGAAATACTTCCTGGTAAACAAACATTATCTGTACATATGAAGATTCTTGCAACTTAGCAAATGCACTATTGTAAGTTGAAGTACCTAAATGTCTTTTGAATAGCA